AAAGTTTTTTCAAAAGTGAACTAATCCTTTAACATTTGAGCACCCTCACTATTTTCAAAAGCACCCTCAGTGATTTGGTTCTAGATTTGGTTGAGCTACAGGAATCAATGGTGCCCTTTTTTTTTTTTCCGACTGCACAAAGTTATCTCGCCGCATTGCTGAAGACGATTAGCGACCCAACAAGAAATGGGCGTGACTCATCTGACCCGCCCACCTTTCAAGACCTTGCCAGCGTCTGTTCACACGCAGACTCTGGCAGCACAATGCTCTCCTGTATGCCGTCATTACGCCTCCAGGGCAATGGAGTTTGCGTCAGCGCTCGTTGAGGAACATGGGCGCCTTAGGGATCAGCTGGATGCGACCTCGCTATGCTAACATGTGCTTATTTACTGCTAACTGGTGAATTCCCTCCGGACCAGCGTCAGCTAAAAGCAGAATCCTAATGGTGCCACTACATGAACAAGATGTTCTGTTCAAGCATTATTACAGCGGACTCCCATTTGTGCTTGGCCAGGTGTAAGAAGTACCTCAAATTGATCCGGTAGCCGTTTGCCCAGGAGACGGGAAAAATTTAGGAACAGGTCATTATTTAAATAATCCTGCAGATGCTCGATTAGCTGGTCTGTGTAACAACCCGAAGACTTTCTTCCTATGCTTTCAAACACACACTGTGGTATTTATGAAACCATGGTCTATATATAAAAGCAACTGCAAACACTTGCCAAAGTATAGTCGTTTTACGTCATTGTGGTAGTAAAATACGAGTAGCACACAGTCTATTTAGTCTAATATTTAATCGGCGCAAAATGAACCTTTGGTCTAATTACACATTGTTACCTAGTCAACCGTTATCTGAGATTTGTTTTCATGATTGCCGAATGTAAATAGTTTTATCTCTAAAAACAGTTTAGCCTATAATGCTAGTATATGGGGCATAGAGTAATGACAAATAAAAATCGCTTGTTATTACCACTAACAAGGCTCAAAATAGCCCCACACTAACACAACAGCATAATAAGGGTCCCTACATTCAAACCGAAGCATTGAGAACTTTGTCAGTGTCCAAACAGTTTAATAAGAAGATATTTTATACACACAGTCAACTTCGCGAATACAGAAAGAAGCCATCTTTGAAAAATAGTCTCAACCAGTCGATCTACGAACGCCGATCCAAGTGCTCATATGGTCCGTTGTTTCCGGAAGAAACACAAACACGAACCGTTTTCTTCTCTTCAATATGTACACGTAGACTACTGTTCGCGCTCACCTTATCACTTTATTGACATCTCACCAGCGCACTTGGATCGTCGTTCGTAGATCGACTGGTAGAGTCTATTTTTCAAAGATGGCTTCTTCCTGTATTCGCGACGTTGACTGTGTGTATAAAATATCTTCTTATTAAACTGTATGGACACTGACAAAGTTCTCAATGCTTCGGTTTGAATATAGGGACCCTTATTATGCTGTTGTGTTAGTGTGGGGCTATTTTGAGCGTAATAACAAGCGATGTTTATTTGTCATTACTCTATGCCCCATCTACTAGCATTATAGTAGCGTTATAGGCTAAACTGTTTTTAGAGATAAAACTATTTACATCCGGCAATCATGAAAACAAATCTCAGATAACGGTTGACTAGGTAACAATGTGTAATTAGACCAAAAGTTCATTTTGCGCCAGAGTTCTCCTTTAATCGCATTAATGTCATAGTTAACTCGCGATTAATCGCAATTAATCACACATTTTTATCTATTATAAATGTCTCTTGATTTCTTTTTGTCCCGTTATTTATTTATTTATTTATTTTTTATTATTTATTCGCGAAGTTGACTGTATGTATGGACCCTTATTATGCTACCGTGTTACTGTGGGGCTTTTTTGAGCCTTGTTAGTAGTAATAATAAGCGATTTTTATTTGTCATTACTCTATGTACACAATAACAAGACAATAACAATAAATGTTGTAACAGTATAATATATATATATATATAACAAATGTTTTCTAAGTTTATTAATGTTTTTAATCAACATTTGTGCAGTTTTTGGAGTATTTTTGATATCTTTTGAATTTCTATAAATAAATAAATATATATTTATTTTTTTACAACAAAACGGCATTGCATGTAAAATTCACTTTATAAAAGACATGGAGATAGCATGGATAATTTTACATGGTTTAAACATATACAGTACATGCCTATACATGCATATTCTTCATTTTTAAATATTGCTTTACAATGCAAAATATGCCAATTGGAGTAATTACCGTTAGTGAAATAATTACAGCTATTGTCCAAAAAGCCTTCTCAGGAAATATTGTCCGAAATAAAATATTTACAAACTTATGAATATCGAAGAGTAATTATTAATCCAAGGGTTATGAACAGTGTGAACACGATAACTACTATAACTGTAGTTTGTCAAGCTACTCATAATTTACAATCGTAATGTAGAAGACAGATCAGTGACTATCCACTGGAATCTCTGTGATTAATTGGTATTAAATGTTAATTAGAGTTCAAATGGATGAAAATGAGCTAGTGTTACTATATGACCTAGATCTAGAGCATCTCTTCCAGGCCACACAGAAGAAAAGACGTTGTGTTCTCTCTTGTTGTAAGACACACAGGCGGTCTTTAAAATGTCAGGTGGGGAGCAGAGACATTACAGTGTGTAAGTCTTCAGATGTGGCTTTCACTGAATGAAAATGTATGACGTCGAGGTCGGCGTGTAACTTCGCTGACATCTTTACGGTCCACTCAGCTTTGGAGATTTTATCTCCAATCTTACGGAAGAAACTGAGGCAAGTATTTGTGGCGAGCCAATGTTCTTACATGAAAAGGGCCATCTTTAGCAAATTTTGCAGAAAAAACAGCTCACAATTGTTTACTTGACTGTTCATGCATCATTTTTTTATGCAAGTTTAGTATGAAATATGATCCATCCGGCTTTTGAGGGAGGTTTATTTGTTCATCTCTCAATCATCATTGCAATCAAAAGATGCAACAGCAAGATGATGTTTCAATGCTTAGTTTTATGATCAATTCTGTTTAGTTTTTATTGTGGGGGGCAAAAGGTTAAATGCAATGCAATGATGAACGCTCCCCAAAAGCTTGATGGATCATATTTGATGCTCAACGAAAACACATATGAAAAATATATAATTTGTTGCATAAAAGTCATTTCATGTCGAGTCTAGAATCGTTTTAGATAATATACTGTATTTAAAGGCCACCTTTTATGCAAAATTCACTTTTACATGGTGTTTGAACATAAATGTGTGTTGGCAGTGTGTGAGCAAAACCACCCTAGAATGATAAAAAAAAAATTTTACAATCTCAATAAATCATCTGCACTGTCTCAGAACGAGCTGTTCTGAGATTCAGCGCTTTGTGACGTAGAATTGAGCGAGGGGTTTGATTGACAGTGTGGTTGTGGCATAGACCCCGCCCTCGGTGATCTTTACACCATCCTCTGGTTCATTGGGGTTCTATGTATGAAGCATAGGGCTCTTTACTCAACTCCAAAGAACCTTTTATGCTAAAAAAGGTTCTATAATGACAAGAAAGAACCCTTTTGGTTCCATATAGAACCTTTTTCCTGGTTACAAAGAACCCTAAAGGGTTCTTTTTATTGAACCCTTAAGAAGGGTTCTATAGAGAACCTTTTAGGGGTTCCAAATACGTAGCGCTGATAGAACCTTTTAAGGTTCTATATAGAACCTTTTCTTCTAAGAGTGTAGCAAAATTGACCTGGTGTTACTTTAATTCAGCCAGCTCACATACCTGTACTTAATTCTTGTTTTTCGGTCGAAGTCCACAGTAGCCGATTGTCGAATTCACGCGCGCGATCATTGGTAACTGTGAATATCAGCTCAAATGGCTAGTTCATC